AAATGGTCGAAGATGTCTGCGCCGTCACGAACAACAACCCGTTTGACGACCCCTTATACTCCTGGCAGCCAACTGAAAGCCTTTACATCATTGCTTGCACATGTTTTGAGTGATCCTGAAGGCGAGAGTAGAACTTCGTCCTGGCGGCTCATTTGTACAGCCTGGAAGAACTAGGTGGATTAATCCAGGGACGTATCGTTTCAACGGAAGATATTATCTGCTATGTCTTCTCTGACTTCGGACCTTTGAGACAGTGTATCTGTCGATACGCCAGTTACACGACGGCGCACAATTATAAGATGGTCAATCGTAATTCTTGTGTGGGTTCTAGTATAACTATTTAGGGAAACATGAGAGAAATCGAAATCTCGGCAGCTTTTCGGGTAAGATACTACCTGCCGCTCCAACCAACGCGTTAGACAGTGATACCATCCATTGCAGACCCTGCCATTCATCTGGTCCATCTGTGAAGGAGATACAAGATGAATTCGCCGGTACGGGGGCTTGGCGCTGATCGGCTTCGCAGCTCAAACAAGTTCCGATCCGTCTCTTTGATCTCCGATAAGCCCGTCACCTTTTGATATAAATGACAGACACCCGATGAACCATATAGCATAGAGACAGCTAGCACTTTTCAGCAACAGGCAACCATTCCTCTCCCGTCACATTCTACGTAGCATTTGAACAAGAATCATGTCTCCATCGGAATCCAAGATTCACGTCGCCGTAGTTGGCGCAGGCATAGGAGGTCTTGCCATAGCTGTGGCTCTTCGACGCTGTCCCCAGTACGCAGTTACGGTTTACGAACGTCGAGCAGCTCATTTGCAGGAGCCTTCGGCTGGCTTCGGAATCCGCGACCATGGCGTCACGGTCTCACAGAAACTTGGTATTCACAGAAAAGACGTGAAGGGTGTAATGGCCGCAGGTTATCGAACATTCAATATGAAGGGGAAAGAAACGAGCGTCGCTCTGATGCCAAAGCCAGCTGATGGAGAAGTCCCTTTGTGGCTCTTGGTCCGCCAAGATCTTCGTGAGGCATTACTGCGAAGACTCGCCGTTGTAGATGAGACATTGGCACCGATCGAGGTGGTCTTCGACGCCAATGTTACGACCTGAGATCGGAGCAATACACTTTGCTGATGGAACATGCCGACGCGCTGATTTGGTCATCGGTTAGTGTAATACTTCACACTCTTGCCGGCGTGGCTAATTCTTTTGTGTAGGAGCCGATGGGATCCACTCCCGAACTCGACCCATCATCGTTTCAGACCATCCCGAACCCATCCCTTCAGGAGTGTCGTTATTCCGCTTTGATCTACCGATGGAAACTGTGAAAGTCGCCATGGCCAAAGATCACGAAGCGCTAGCCATTTTGAGGGATAGTCCAGAGGGAGTCCTCGGCAGCATCTTCACTGCCGGCAACGGAGATCTGCGGCATATTGTGGTCTATCCATGCCGCGATTTCACCCAAGTCAATTTTGCCATTGGCATACCCGACTCTTTCGTCCACAACTCTGGAACTCTGAGCCACTCTTGGACGGCAAATGGAAGCACAGATGACCTGTTGAGGGCACTGCAGGGGTTTCCTTACTGGCTCACTGAAGTTGTTTGGTAAGGACCCTTCATGCCCACCTTGCACCACAGGAGCTTGAGCTAATACGTTTTCGATTCAGTCACGCATCCTCTTTAAAGCTATTTCAAGTTCGAGATGTCAAGCCTCTCCAATCTTACTTCAAAGGGAAAACAGTAGTGATTGGCGACGCAGCTCATGCCATGGTCCCGTACCAAGGCCAAGGGGCAAACCAGGCACTTGCAGACGCCGATGGTCTATGTGACCTCCTCGCTGATGTGGACGATCCCAGCCATATCCCGGAGATGCTGAGATTGTGGGATAGTGTGCGAAGGCCTCGGGCGAGTGCCATCCAAGAACAGTCACGAGACTCACTACTTAGGATTACAACGAGAGGAACGTGCCAGAGCATACTTGATGTGGAGGCTCATGTGCCGATCAAGGAGGTTCTAAAGCAGAGCGCTTCTTGATTATGTTTGTCATATTCAATAGACTGAGTAACCGCCAGACTGTTTTCTCAGTAATGGGGGCATATAGTAGCAGAGATGCATCTAATGCATTGACTTTTGGCTGTCTTCTATGCCCTGTGTGTAGGTATAGAGACATTGTTGGCAAGTCAAACCCCACTGCCCAACCCCTAAAGAGCCACTCCTTCATCAGCGATACGTCGACTCTGTTCCACCAGTGCAGTAATACTCGTGCTACCGTGCTCAAAGAACGTGGGATCACGCATCACGCACTCGATACTTTTTATCTTGCCCTCAGACCACTGGTACAATGCCCACACAACAAAATGGGCCACCTCACCCTTGGGAAACGACTTATCGCCGACGGCCTCAGGCGGAGCGTCCTTCTTTGCCTCGAAAAATGCACCCATAACGACAAACGATCTTTCCGCCTGCAGTATGATCGCTCGGATGCTCAAAGTTTCTGTAAAGATGGCATGCGTGCGGCGTAAGTGTTCCAGGAAGTTGACCCGCCCGCTGACAAATTGCTTGTCCGGCAATAGAATCGACACGTCTTCGTGGTAATAGGACCCGACCTTGTCGTATTCAGCGTCACTGTATGCCTTCAGATATATCTTGAATGAGGCCAAGTTCTTTGCAGCCATCGTGAATGCTCTTCTATGTGGTTCTTTCGGTTGAGAGTGTGATTTTTGAGGAACTGCCGTCTTTAGATCGTTTTAGCGAAAGTTTTCAATGACTAGCTCTCCTCTGCATCAGACAATGGCTGTCCGGGAGCTTGGGACAGATTTATACCTTGGGTCGAAGTTCTGAAAGACGGTACAGTGAGCTCGTCCATTTGGAACTATGAAACCCGCTCGGCGGTGGGATCTAAATGGCCCGCCCGGCACCGCAGCGCCTTCTCCTCTGACCCCACATCTCCCCGAGACCGTCTGTTGGCCCCGCCTCCCCGAAGCCGTTTGCCGGCCTTCTCCACGCCTCCCCGAGGCCGTCTGCCCACGCTTATCGCACCACTTCCGCTGGCATCCTTCAGTATACCGCTGACACATATGTCTAAAGCACACGAATTAAAGCGGTTCATGCCACAACACACAGTGCGATATGGCTTTCTTGGTCTGCAGCAACATCTTCGGTCTTTTTAAAGATCGCTCTTATCCTACAACTGATACAGACAGACGAGTTGTTCTTACATGTTCTGGGGCGCAGCAATAACGATGTTGTGAGAAATGTACAGAGGCTAGTGGTTGCAGCTGGCAGTTGGGTGTCTCTCCTTCTACAAGCAAGTGCCCTAGCCTCCATAGGCCAAGCCTTGAAACCCATCAACCAGAAAAGCGGACACATGATCCAGGTTAGTTCATCATGACTCTTACCCCATCATCAGGAAGTAGACCATAATCAGTTGATTGATTAGTGGGCGCTTTTGGTGGCTTGTGTGTTGTACCTCCCCTTTTACATCTCTTCCACGAGGTTATTGGGGAGAAGCCGTAATCCTTTGTGAGACTCGTTGTTGGGTACCTGGAGCATTGGATGTTGAGGAATTTCCTAAGAAGCTTTGTTGCATTCTCAAAAGGCTAAACTCTGCTCCCAGAGATGTTTTCATGTATTCGAGAAAGTCGTGATGGGGGCAGGCAACTTGGGCTGGGCTGGGCTTGCTGAGTGAAGTCTACTCCACAAGTTGATATTCACTAGATACTCATGCCGAGGGCGAATTCGGCCGTTGAGTGAGAAATCCCTGATCAGCGAGACGATAGGGCGGAATATGATTGAGACTTGATTGGAGCATAAGTCTCAGTGTAAAGCTGACGTCGTTAGCTTAGCTAGCCTTTCCGTGCCTCCCACGTTAGTTCTAGGACAAGGACAGTAATTGCCATCTGAGACGACAGTTGAGGAGTCTGTATAATTGATAGAGTGTCTTATTTGAGAAGATTCAAGATGGGAGGAACTACTGGGTTTCGTTGATGACCTGACGTCAAACGCCAGTGCCCTCCAAACATCGAATATGAGATCTCCAGTGTGCGTGATCTTGCACATACGACCATACCCACTGGAGAACTCGGGATCCCGTCCGCTCTCCCATAGATAAGCCAGTGAGGGCTGGAGTAGTAGTCGGGTCGGTGACGACCGGCGAATGCCCGGTGTTGTATGTTTTTTTTTGGCGTTTCTCCGGAGTCACGATGAATTTTTTTTGGTGTTGTGGGGAAATCAGAAGAGTGGCTGATGTGGCGCATTTTGTCGCTGCCCCAGTCATTCTCGAGCTGGCTCTAATTAAGATACGTCAAGAGACTTTCGCTTGAATTAGAAAGCTGCTGAGATGCAGGAACTTGCTGACGTGCATGTCATTAATGAATTACGCCTAAAGGTTCACTAGTAGCCACTACTGCCTGCTTGATGCTTAACTGCGCATCGCGGCAGGACATGGGCCAGCTTCAACAATATTGGTGACGACGGGTCCAGATTGGTATCGTAGATAGTTTTATCATCGGCATGACCTAAATCCTGCATGTTGGACTCAGAAATGAACGTCAGGTTAATGTGTGTTTTCTTAATGTTTGTTGCCTTGTTGTACAGGTCACCACCCATACGTTCCAGCTTGACCCATGAGACTTCTAAGTCGGGAGAAATTAGTGTTGTTAGTATAGATGTGACGGTCCCTTCTCAGCACTAACATCTGGTGCTGGTGGGTGGTATGCAGGAGGGAAGTTGAGTGGCCGAGATGGCGGATAACGGAATGGTTGAAAACCCGATCGTTTCGTCTTCGGTACTTATGCGAAGGAGGTGGTCTTGGGAAGATGTTGCTCCACCACATGTCTGTGGTTTGAATCGTTTTTTTGGCTACAGTCTTTGGAAGAACTTTCTATTCATGAATGACCTTCTTATCGCTGCTTCTGTGCTGTTCGGCGTAGATGTACAACGCCTCGTAGTCCCTACACGTGTGCTGGTATCCCCATCCCGTACTCCCAACCCCTCTAGGTGGTACCCATTCCAAGGTAGTATCTCCTGAACACATGATTGACTGCCGCAGATAGTCCCAGCAGTGGGAGAGATGCGTAGTGTTTACCGTGCTCAACTTGCCATCTCGCGCGGCGAAGTATCCGGATCTTGTCATGTACTGGTAAATACAAACATCAGCACCCATCGACATCAGTACGGGGTTTGCGCTTACAAGGCAATGAAGCTGATGGAACACTGCGACGAGTGCCCTCTGCTTGGGAATAGACCGACCCATGCCTGGGTAATATGGAATCTCATCCGTATCGGCCGTCACGTTGATCCAGCCCTTGCCCACTATCACCGAACCACGTGCATGGTCAGCAACTCACACACCGATCGGTGCCAACTAACGGATAGAACGACATACTCGGAATCAATTTGGTCCACATCTCCTCCGACTTTGCGTCCGGTTCTCCCCCAAACACGCTCTGGTACATGAAAAGCTTCTTGGCCGTTCTCTCGGGCGGCATCCACGCCGGCAGGCTGGAACTCGACTGCGACCGCAGGACCAAGTCCAGAGCAGTCACGAAAGCAATGTTGGACAGTACAAGAAGCAAAATCGCGACTCGCGTTGTTATGAAGGGACTGTGCTTCGGCCTGAGCGTCGTCTGCTCCAGGACTTCTGAGGACTCCAGCAGGATCTGCTTCTCCTCGTCCATGGTGGACGTCTCTGTTGAAGATCGCGAATCTTCCTTGTTGTCCATTTTGGTTTACCACAGGTATCAGAAAGAATAGAGGGATGGATACAGTCCATGTCATCGGTAATAGAACAAAACATACCTCAGTCTTTTGCCAGCACAACAAGGAGAGCGACAAGTATTAGGCGCTGGCGCCAGCGCTGACCGACGGAACCCCATGCGGAATTATCGAAGCTAGGTGTTGTTTGAATCAGTCCTCAACCCAGGATCTCCTTGTCGACAAGACTATCAGCCAGCTCCGAGAACATCAGACGACATTCTGATTCAGGATGAGCTGCGGAGGAAAAGCATACGCAATTCTCGAACAAATGAGAGCTCCGCTAGGCGCAGGCGCCAAAACCTCTCAGAAAATTGATTACTGGAAACTTTGGCGCAACATCTCTGGATTGACTCGGTTCAGCTGATGGCTTTGCCTTTGATGCCCAGCTCACGACGCGGCAGTTCATCCTTCCTGTGAAACTGCTCTCTACTCTCTCCCCTGTGTCAAGAACACCGCAAGATATTGCTCTCCAGGGGAAAAAGGCACGTTAGCGTCTCTAGCTAGCTTTCAAGGCTCACCAGAGTTACTGGAACTCGCCAAGATGGAGAAACTCGCAATTCTCAAATGCTTCACCAAATCGCAGTACACACCTCTACCAACTCAAGATCAACCAGAGGTCGACCTTGGTGGCCCATTCAAAGATGAGGAGCAACAGCTACCGTCCAGTCAGCCGCCTATTCGGCCATCTCGACGTTTGAGAAAGAGGCGACCCAGCGAACACGCAGAGCCGCCCAGCTCCAAATCACTTTTCTTCCCAAGCGTAAGAATTATAGCTTGGCTGGCCCTTGGCATCGTCTGCACCTTTATCATCGTCTTCGTTTTCATGCCATCACCTACCAAGCACCACGAATACCCCTCCAAAGACACCCACCACATCAATCACCCCCACAAGAAACCACACCACGACGAGGCGCACGATCGGCCGAAGCAGATCCCCCATGAGCCCGAGTGCGGCCGCATCCCAGCCGAAGCTCGCCAGCGGGGCTGTATCTTTGAGCAGCAGTTGGGCGCCTGGGTACCGGCGACCTGCGCCTGGAGCGAGATCGTGGATCAGTTCCATGATATCACGGGGGATATATACCTCGAGTGGGAGTGGTTCACCGATACCGATCTCACGCAAAAGGTGCCGCCGAGCGAGTTGCCGCAACTACAGAGTGGGAACTTCTCCGCCATCTACACGACGTACCCGCGGGCACATGATCTACACTGCCTGTACTGCTGGCGCAAGGTAGAGTATGCCATCGAGCACGGGATCGGTTGGATGGATGCTAGGTGTCATCAGTTCTGGCATACGAAGCATTGTATCACGCTTGTTGCGCAGACATTGATCGATCAGGCGGAGCAGCACAAGGCACTGACGTACCCTTTGCTGTTTCATGACTGCGTTCCTCTCACGTCGACGAAGGAGTCGTGAGGGCTACGAGTTTAAACAAAGCCAGAGTTACAGACGTTGTGAGATTCTTGGTCTGGCGGTCTATTACTCTACTATCATCAAGATATAGACTTACAAGTACGCATATATGTATCCTCGGATAACGTGTGAATTGTGATCACGTCTTCAGCCGCCACCCTCTTTCCGTCAGACCAAGCCTCCACGCAAGTTCAGACTTTATCTTGGCATCTTCGACCTCTCCAAGACTATTGCGTCTGACCAGCTCGCTCTCTAGCGTACCCTTGCTTTCCGTGTCAATGGCAACCAGAGTGGGCAGAGTCGAGCTCTTCACGACCCCAACTCCGGACAGTTGCGTTTGAACAATTGTAAAAACTAGAACGGCCGCGGAAAGCCCGATTTGTGCGGATATGAACGCGATCCACGGCCATCGTACCTGGACGAACGTCTCAGCGGCCAGGACTTGGCCAGTCACATTTGTCAAATCTTGGGCAATCCTGGTGATTCAGAGCTGATGAGCATTCCGGATACACTGACACCAGCCACTATATTAGACTTACTTGTTAGACATTGAAGCCGCTATGTTGTCGGTGACATTCCTGATTGCATTCTCCACGTGCATCGCATTCGATACGTTCGGTTGTATCTGGGACTGCAAAGCGGTTAAATACCGAGCTGGGGCGAGCCCCAAAGTACTGGCTTCTGACGCCAGGTCGATGTATGTCCCGTTGAGGGCGCTGACAAGGCTCTGGGTAATCACACCCGTTGGCCCCAAGGGAAACTTTGTCTCTCGGTCCAATGGATCTCGGAGGGCAGAGAGTGGAAATGGCCCCCGGCCGTCAGGCAAGGTGTAATTGCCTGTCTCAAAATTCGTCGTGTTTTGTATGAGTTTCCGCTCTTCGATATTCCCCGTGACTGAAAGGTTAAAAGTCTTGACGCAGAAGTACATTTCGACTTCCGTTGCACCCAGCATGTCGATGTCAGTGGTGCCTTTTCTCAGGGAGTAGATGAATGTCATGTTGTAGATGGACAACTCTGGGTTGTAAGAAGGTTCCGATAGCGCAGAGATTGTGTTTTCCACGCCCGTCAAGCTGACGAGGCCAAAATGCGGCTGGGTCAGATTTGCACGAGGGCCATTTGTCAGTGACGCGAAGACTGGTATGGGTGCGGCGGTATTCACTCTCTGGGAGGTAATGTTCAAAGAGTCCGTTACATTCCAGTGTCTGGTACACACACTCAACGAACTGTACGTCTGCCACTCGCAATCACTGGTTGGACAGCGAGCTTGGCTCAAAGGATACATCTTGGCGTAGTCGTAGCTGAGACCTTCGAAAAGGTGCTGGTCTACAGACTGGCGATATATGACTGCACATCATCTGTCAGTCATCGACCCCAAGCAAGGATTGGGAAAGACTATTAAGTCTCACTTACGGTTGTTATGAGTTCCTGCGCTATTGTAAAAGTAATACGTCGACCGCGATACTGTGGCTTGCGCGGGGCCGTTGATGGGTGCCATCCGGACAGGATAGGTCACAGCAGACTGGGTGAGCGTTGACGTGAGAATCGCGGACACCAGAACAATGGCTGATATCAAACTCGGAGACCTGGCTCTTTCATTAGATTGGCGAATTCGCTCATCGTCGACATACCTAGCAAACTCACCATCCCCTCGTCGTCGTCAACAGCAGCAAACTGCCCCAGACCCCTCGGCTTGCCGCATCAAAGTCTTGAAAGTCCTTCAACATCCGTGGATGGCGGAACCAAACCCACTTCAACTGCGAGAGACTCTCAGAAACCGGAATTACGAATGCGGCTCGAGCGAGGGTAGCGAGAAAAGCGACAAGTGTGTTCAGCGTCAATCCCAGCGGCCATTGGGGTAGCTGCTCGTCGTCGAACACGTTCAAGACAACGACCAAGGCAACAACCGAGCCTATACTGACGAAGCACCAGATGATTTCGGCCAGCCATGCCAGAAGTGCCGAGCTCCATGCTGGCTGGGATGCGTAGAAGACATTTGTCTGAGACTTGGACAGGCCAGTCTTGATGTTGGACTCATCAGAGTTCTTGACACTGGCATCGGATTCCAGAAGCTTTGCAGAACTGCGTAGGCTATTTCGCAGTTTGGGGCTGTCTTGCTCAGTGCCTGGTGTGGGCTCATCGATTTGACGGTGCGTTGGCGAAATTGGGTGTCCGACCGGAGTCAACGGGATGGCCGGCGCGTGAGACTGAGTGCGGCTTCCGGCCATGTCGCCGATGCCAATGAGCGGTCTCGAGTCATCGCTGGTGTGTTCCAAAAAATGGCTCCGGGTGTACGAATCCGATCGCTGCTCAGTCCGAAGTGAGATTGGCGACGGAATCGATGGTTCTCGCGGGGATGTCATCCCGAACGGATACCAGTTCAAAGCTTATTGACCAGAGTGAACTGGCCAAGTGAATTCCGGCGATTCAAGAGAAATGCATGCAATCGAACCAGAGTGCTGAAATATCCGCCAACTTTGATAGCCAGGCCTCACATCTCATAATCGCACCAATCTTTAAAGATGGACATCTCAAGGCAACAGCATTTTAAAATTGGGGCAGCAAAGGCACACAGCCTTGCCAGCTCAGTGGCGTCTCTGAGACACCTCGTCTCGGTGCCCAATCAAGTGGTATTTACAGGGTGGAAATCTCGGCTCCACGGCCAAAGGGCATCTTGATGGGCAGATCAGGATGCTTGGCTGCATCAAGCCCTGGATCGTTCCGCTTGACGATAGGCGTTCACAGCCGACTCACAGCCGACTCACTGTCGTCTCATCCATCGCGATTAAAGATCAGAGGATGGAGCCAGAAGACCTCGACATGGCTTGAAAAGCCACAATCGGCGGCCAGTGATGTGCAGCACGATGAGGGACACAGGGCTTGGAAAGTCGAGAGTGATTGGTGATACGGTACTCCAGACACTACGCCAAGCAACAGCTACCAAATGAAGCCGTGGAGACTGAGAACCCAAGTCCTTGTTTTCAGTTTCATTCTCTGCGCAGCCTGGATTATTGAATCAGTTTATACTGAGAGCGTGCTCAAGTAAGTATACGGGAATTGGCGCGTTCCACTACTCGTCGTACGCGCCAACGCGCCAAAATCCTCGCCACGGACACCCAGGGCTTGATGGCGCTAATTTGGCGCTGGTCCGCCGCTGAGCCTGCCCCCAAGTCCAGCATTCTGTACAGTCTGAATTGGAATCGCCAGGCCTAATTGCGTAGCTACACACGTAAGATAGGCAGTCTGAACCATCAGCAATAATGTGGCCAAAGTCGCTTCTTGCGAAAGATTTCGTTGCATACGAGACCATCAAGGACATCGAGGCCGATAAAGTCGGCGACAACAGCTCGATCCCTCCAAGAACGCCGTACTGGGCTTGGACGCAAAGACTTCGCGATCCTATTGTGCTTGCAGTGGTGTGCCAAAGCCTCATTATTATTGTCTTATGCACTCGACTCATCATCGGCAAGAAACCCGATGACCTGCAATGCGCTAGACAACTATCGCCCTATTGTGAGTCTTACAACACGCAACAGACTTTTACATCCTCGAGACCGCGATTGATGAGTTATCTTTAGCGCCATACATTGACTCCGGTGATATGGAGTTTGTTGAATACACAGAGCAGAATCACTTGATGCAGCCCTCACCATATCGTGGAAAACCAACGCGTGAGGTGGAGGAAGCCTGGATTCGTCTGTGGAGAGGTGTGTGTGCAGGATGGACTCCATATCCCTTGTAGTTTGACACAGCTGACCGCATCAAGTGCCCCCGATTCGCTTCCCCGAAGACAAGCTGGCGGCCTTGAACAAAGCACCACCGGAGAAGTATGAGCGTGTTTCCAAAGAATTGGGTGGAGGCGTCAAGGGATTTCTCAACGTTTTCCACCAGCTTCACTGCCTGGTAAGCAAGGCCCACTTCGTCACTTCACAACAAGCCAGAGCTGATAATACACTCCAGAATCTCGTGCGTCAGTACACTTACCGCAATGACTACGACTACAGCAAAGTTACCGCTTTTAGGGCCCCTGAAGAACTTGTTCGAGGACACATCGATCATTGCATAGAGACCATCAGAAAGTCTCTCATGTGCACTGCTGACGTTACGCCTGTGGTGTTTGAGAAAGATCCATCACGGGCTTCGGGGTCAAAGAGCGATTTCAATCTGTGGCGCAAATGCAGAAATTTTGATAGAATTCAGGACTGGACTATCATGAACAGAGGTGTTTAAGAACAAAACTTCAGTTTTCCTGTTGAGCTCGGTGTAATAGAGCAGGACGAAGTGTACCATGTTTATATACTGTAAACCCATCCGGTGTGAACACTTCGACATCGCTTTCCTCCATGACACTGGATAGCCCAATCTGCGGACCAAACCATCCATGTGCATTTCACCCCCATCTTGTCACTCAGTCAAACTCGTGTAAGTCCTCCAACGTACTGCAACGCTTTGTATAAGATTACGTTCCAGCCTCAACCGTTCATCATTATATCTACTTACTCTTGAGTGAGACAGTTAGCAGGAAGAATCGTTCCATCACCCAAGCATTCAAAAATATGGCCACTACTTACACTATTCAAGTCAGCTTTCGCCTAGCTTCAGAAGCGACTGCTTAACTTACAACACTCTCCTGCTGCTTGGTGGGCAGGATTCCCTATCGATACAGGGTGAGCGACGCTGACGAGATTCCACACAACATTAGCCACCAACCTTGTTGAGGTGTGCATCAACCAGCATTGGTGCCGCCAAAACTACAGCCAGCATCAAAGAAATCAGAAGACCTCGCATTAAGATGAGCATCTCGAACACCATTTAGGCTTCGCAAATGGCTATGTGAAGCTGTATTGACTTGTAAAATCTTAGGATACAACTATTGTTGGAAAACAGTCATTTGCTGAAAAAGCAATTAGCCTGCAGTGGAAAATTTGACCTACATTGTCCTTCTCCTCCGAGAAAGTCTACATTTGGCGCCGTGGCGCTGGTTCTGACATTGGCACTGACAATGCCAACCATCAGCCGAGTCGCTACACGCAAGGTTTAACCATGTACGAACAATAATCCATTTTGTAGTGCTTGTCTGTGGACGAATGCGCTCACCACAATCACAGAAGCATCGTCATCTTGCTTGATGCATCAACGCCGCAATGTCGACTTTCACGGACATCAAACTGAGTGCCGACCAGATGGAAGGCGATGCCACCCAGCTTTTTCATCATGCATCTGCACAAGCAGCCAGACGAAGAGAGAACCGACTCCGCTTGGCAGTCGGAGTATGGTTCACGAGCACGCTGTTATTGGCCGCTCTTTCAGCGTGGCTTGGCCTTCAATTACGAGCTGCCAACCGTTTTGGATCGTTCGAAAGAGGCTTTCACACTGAGCTAGGTAATTAACTCTCTCTCATCATGAGCAACCTGTTATAATAACATAAAAAGACGCGCCAAAACATCTAATCGAACTAGAGGAGAAGTGGTTTGAGGCGAGCCCTGCATTCCTGGATGACGGGTTCGAGTATGTGCCTGAGCGGGAAGACGGGACGCCACGCATCAAGTATGTTGGTGAACCAACGAAAGATATTGATCACAACTGGGAACAACTTCATTGGGGTAAATAGAAGCTGCTGCCGAAGTTTCTGGTTTCCGCGGTATAATCCTCGTACTTATTTACTCTATCGCCAGGCCGATTCTTCCTCCTTACTGAAGACGAAGCGAAAAAGGCGTGGGGGCCTGGTTATGAGAAGTACTGGGCTCCCAGAGAAGGCGGATATATCGCAGCTTGAGTTGCTCCCTGTGGCACGGAATCCCTCGGCTTACCACTTTTCTCTGAGCAGCTTAGAAGTTATGCATACTGTTCACTGTCTGGTGAGTGAATTCAAGAGAGCGTCGTCATAGGAAACAACTGACATGCGACAGGATCACATCCGCCGGGCGTTCTACCCGGACATATATCCGAACAAAAACCCAATCCACGGCACCAAACACCGAGACCACTGCATTGAGCACCTCAGGCAAATCATACTCTGCAACTCGGACTTGACGCCAATTCCGTCCATCTTCTACATTGGGGTTGAAGATAACTACATAAACTCCGACAGGCCACACACTTGTCGAAACTTTCAAAAGATGAGGGAATTTGTGACCGACCGGTTCAATGGCAGTTCCCGAGTGGCGCCTCGTCCCGGAACGGTTTGGAGTGACGAGTGGATCAACACTGACAGGCCTCATACATGAGCATATGTAGACATCCGAAAATTAGAAGTTAGGGGTATGCCGCCCACGGTAGTATCAGCGGCTGGGGGTTTTCAATACGAAAACTCCGATGGACCTGCGGAGGTTTATGAACAAGTTAATGAAACTTTTGTTTGAAACCTCGTCATATGCTACCGGCGTTGAGGTACCTTCCAACGGTGTCCTGGGAGCCATGGGTAAGGCGTGTTCCTGATGCTCGGTTCTGACTCGGTCGAAGAAGCTTTCGGGAAACTCTTGCACAAACAAGGGATAGTTGAGTTCTAGACCGCCGAGAGGGAACAAGCGAGCAAATGATCCAAGCACAGGGTGTGTTGGGCGGTATTGCAGTACGTTCATCCCATTGAGTTCCCATCACCGGTCTCTCCACCCAATGCTTCGCGACGCATTTTCAATGAACGATGGCCTCGAAGTTTTCTCACATCTGCAGAAATGAATGGAATAATTACGAACTCATTTCCGATGATCATGATACCTTTAGTGACGACCTGAATGAGAGATCCAGCAGGTAGCCTTTAACTTACTTCTGTCGAGGCGCTGCGTTTGCTAAAGTATTCCAGATGTACCCGTCAGTTTGCGATCTGGATTTTCTGGGCAGGCTCAATTGTGTTAACCGGAATACTGTCCATGTCAGCTATCCTGACTATTTCAAGCTGGTCTCGCGATCCCCAAGTCGCTTCTTGTCGTAATCCCGCCATACGGCGAGAGTGGCGCGCGCTCACGGCCGACGAGAGGAAGAATTTCACCGACGCCGTAAACTGTTTGAGTCGCGAACCTGCGCGTTGGGGTCCTAACGGAACAGTCTATGACGACTTCTCTCTGCTGCATGAAAGAATTGGATCGTTGTGTATGCCTCTCTCTCTCCGTGTGTTCGCTATGTCTGACACTTGTCCAAACTCCAGCTCATGGATCTGCTTCATTCTTGCCATGGCATAGGTACTTCCTCAAGGCGTGGGAGTCTGCGTTGAAAGAACATTGCGATTTCA